AGTGAAAGCTTGTAGCAAGGGTACAGCCGGTTCCTCCATCTGCTGTTGTTGCTGCTGCTGCTGCTGCAGAAGCGGACAGCGCCAGTCCCCCCGCGGTACAGGTGCTGTGCGACAGTATAGCTGGGCTGAAGGCGTTGGCGTTGCTGTCTCTCGTACACTGCCAGTTGGGGCCTCGGGCTGCTGATGCCCTCAGTGGTATCATACTACAGAACAGGTACTTGTTCTGTTTCGTTCCTGCTGCTGCAACTTCTTCCTCTGCTGCTGCCTCAGCAGCTGCGGCTGCTGCTGTTTGCCGCGCTGCGCTGCAGTGAGGTGGTGATCGAACAGTGTGGTTCTCTCCAGGGCGTTTGGGGTGTATGTACAGCAAAAGTTTACGAGAAATACACCTCAGAAACAACGCAATTGGGGAGGAGGGCGCAGCCCAGCTCTGTACTGCACTGAAAACCAACAGAAACCTCACCGCCCTCGACCTGACGGGTGAGCCAGCGTTGTGTTTGTATTAACATGCATTTCATCCTCTACAGAGAAAGCTGAAATACTATACTATACGGTGTTTTGGGGTTTAGTTTAGGGGGCAATGCATCTGGACGCAGGGGGCCGGTGTACTGGCTTTAGGGTTTAGGGTTAGGGTTAGGGTCTGTGCCGCCACTGTTTCTCTTCACATATATGTTTGTATACAAATAAACCTACACGCATGTGTACGTATATGTATAGATCTGTATACGCTTATGTATGTATGTAGATGTGTGTATGGTTAGACCCACCCATCCCCACGAACATTTATATCTATGCGCATGCGTGCATACACATATCTATGTACATGCATGCGTGCATGCATGCGCATGCATGCAAAGGCAATGTCGAGGGTCTTCTGGGGCTTTCTGGTACCTGCAGGCAATGGGGCGAGGCCCTCGACTCTCCGCGAGGTCTCTAGGTGCTGCGCTGACAACAGCAAGATGCTGGAGCTGCTGCCGCCGCAACAGGAGGAAGCACTTGGGCTGCAGCACAGCAGCAGCCTGCAGCAGCGGCAGCAGCAGCACCAGCAGCAACACCAAAAGCAGCAGCAGCAAGTCGATGACTATGTAACTCGAATTGAAGCTGAGCTGAAGAGCACAGAGCAGGTGAGCCGCAGCTGCTGCAGGCTCCAGTGTCCGCGCCAGACTGCAGCACAGCTGCTGCTTGCACTGCTCCGGTTGCTTCTGCTGCTGTTGCTGCTGCTGCTGCTGCTGCTGCTGCTGCAGCAAAGCGCTCGACTGCTGCGGCGCCTTGAGTCAGACTTGGCCTCTTCGGCTCAACGACACAACGAGACAAAGAGAGAAAATATGCTCCTCAAGCAACGCATCTGTGAACTGCAAGGGGCCACAGTAAAGTGTCAGTGAATTCCTCCCTACAACTCCATAGTGTACAGCTTGAGGCCTAGGGTTTAGGGTTTAGGGTTTAGGGTTTAGGGTTTAGGGTTTAGGGTTTTTTTGCCGCAGCCAACTTGATGCAAGATGAACGCCGAGAGCTGCTCAAAGAAAACGCCTTTTTAAAAGTCAGTCCTCTGCACAACAAACATATGACAGCTACAGCCCAGCTAGCTGTACCCAGCCAGCTGTACCCAGCTAGCTGTACCCAGCTAGCTGTACCCAGCTAGCTGTACCCAGCTAGCTGTACCCAGCTAGCTGTACCCAGCTAGCTGTACCCAGCTAGCTACACTGAGGTTGCTGCAGCCAGCTAGCTGAGTGCAGGCGAACAAAGCAGGACCTAGCAGCTACCTAGCAGCTAGCTAGCAGCTAGCCAGACACTTCAGCAAGAGTAAGCTGCTTAGGCTGCTGCCGGAGCCAGAGAGAGTGTCGGCGCAGGGGAGCCTGGAGGAGAGGTACAGAGAGCTGTGTGAATCCCGCATCATGGCACAGCAGCAGAAGCTGCAGCTGCAGCAGCAGCAGCAGCAGCAACAGCAGCACCAGCAGCAGCAAGCCATGCTGCAGAGGCAGCTCCACGACAAGCAGGACACCAACGAGAAGCTCCTCAGCGATCTTCAGGTCAGCTAGCCAGGTCGCAAAGCTATCTAGCTAGCTGGCTATCTAGCTAGCTAGCTAGCTAGCGGCAAGCCCTAGGGTCTAAGCTACAAACTTCTTAGCTGGATGATGTGCTGCTGGTCAGTGCGGCGTTGGCTGCTGTCTTTGGGTTTTATTGCAGCAACGAGAGCTGCAGCTGCAGCAGACCGAGCTGCTGCTGCAGCAGCAGCAGCAAGACACCGCGCGGCTCCAAGCGGAACTCGAGCAGCAGCAAAATGTGGCGGAGCGGCGGCAGCAAATGCTGCAGCAGGAAGTTGACAGACTGCAGCAGCAGCAGCAGCAGCTGCAGAAGCAGCTGTTGGAGGAAAAAGACAAACACATGCAGCAGCAGGACGGCACTCTACAGCAGCATCAACAGCTGCAGCAGCAGCAGCAGCAACAGCAACAGCGTATCCTTGAGCTGCAGCAAGAGCTGCAGCAAGAGGCACAGCGTCGCCTCCAGGGAGAGAAAGAGGCACTAGAAGAGAAGCAGAGCATTACAGCCAACCTGACGAAAGCTGAACAAAAGTAAACTATAACTAAACAGGGATATTAGGGTTTGTGGTTTGCGATCCAGTCTAGGGTTTAGGGTTTAGGGTTTAGGGTTTAGGGTTTGTGGTGCATGCGAATGCGATAAGGGTGGAAGAGCTGAAGCAAAAGCTGCAAGAGAGAAAGGAGACCGAAGAGCTGCAGCAGCAGCAGCAGCAGCAGCTGGAGCAACGAGTTACCGAGCTGCAGCAAGAAGCAGCAGCAGCAAGAGCAGCAGCAGAAGAACTGCAAACAAAGATGCGCCACCTAGCAGCAAGGGCTGCAGCAGCAGAAGCAGAGCAGCAGAGACAGCGCGATATCCTAAGCAGTCGTCAGGTGGCTCCTCTTCGCCTCTAAACCCTAAACCCTAAACCCTAAACCCTAAACTCTAAACTGGGCTATCTGAGAAGCGTGCTGTTAAGACAAGGAGGCTGTGTGGCCTTTCCTACTACTGCTGCTGCTGCTGCTGCTGCTGCTGC